CACCAACATCAAGGAACCTTCCTTGAGGGGAGGTAGTTGAACAATCTTGGGCTCCTGACACTTATTGTGTTGACTCTCAGTGTATTCGTGGCATTCCTGCTTTTCATTGGGGGAATGTTGCATCTCCTGCCGAGTCTTTTGCTTTCATAGGGAGTGATTTTCACGTTCAGGTTTGGTACTAATCCGTCTAGGATTTTCCAAGTGTACATTATCATGTATATTTCTACTCCTGCATTCAAAGGGGCACAGGTCAAGGGACTTCAGCCATTCCCAGTAATTTAGGTGCTTTATTGTACTTATATATGTACTGAAAGTTCTCTGTATATCATCCAGGTCTGCAATTTTGCCTGCCCTGAAAGGGGCTGTTAGTGTACAACAATACTTCATCCTAATTTTCTTAGCAGATGTGGTAGAGACGTTGTTGCGATCTTTGAAAGTGAGATTCTCTGACATTATCACTCCCAGGTCCTTCACATTAGTTTTTCACTCTTGTGTGGTTGGAACTTGTTTTATACTCTGATCCAGTTTTTTATTTCCTCGAGTTTTCCAGAGTGGAGTAATTGAAATTTGTCTTCATTGAACTGCATATTAAAAGGCTTGGTTAATGTCCGCTTGGAGATTCACAGTATCTTCCATGGACGACACTCATAAAAATTCTGGTATCGTCAGCAAAGGACAGGTGCTGTGGCTTACATCTCTGTCTATATTAGATATAAGGAGGAGGAGGAGGAGGAAAAGAATGGAAGCAAGTACTGTACCTTGTAGAACAGAGCTTTTCAATGCAGGTGCATCTGACTTTACTGTTTACTATTACTCTCTCTGTTCTATTTGTTAGGAAATTATAGATCCATCTATCCACTTTTCCTGTTATTCCTTTATCACGCATTTTGTGTGCTATTACACCATGATCACACTTGTAAAGTCTGTGTATACTACATCTGCATTTTGTTTGTCCTCCAGTGCATCCAAGACCACATCATATTATTATAATCAAAACTAAGCACTAAACCACAGGGTCATACAGGGTTCAGTAGCTGTGAGAGACAGGAGTGACCTGCTCTAAACCCATGCTGCCCTGGGTTGTGCATTATTATTATAATTATGGGGGAGTGCTAAACCCATAGGATTATACAGTGCATGTGTGAGGGGGTGATGGAAGGTATTCAGACTCAATTCAGGGAACCAGAGTAGAGATCCAATTCCCTAGATCAACCCAGGCCCCTTGAGGGGCCTGGGTTGTGCAATTGTAGGGTATCTAATTGGTTGGCAATTATATTCCTTAGAACTCTTCCAAAGATTTTTATGATGTGGGACATCAGTAATATTGGTCTGTAATTCTTAGCAATTGCTTTACTGCCACCTTTGTGGAGTGGGGCTATATCCATTGTTTTTAGTGACTGTGGGATGACCTGTGTCTATGCTTCCTCTCCATAGAATATTTAACGCACGTAAAAAGGGTTTAGTGAAGGGATTCATGGAAACCAATTATTTTTATATAGCCGGACTTGAGTACTGGAAATGGGAAGCACAATGCCTGCACTTTAAAGGAAGGGTTTGGGATATTGGCAGTTTGGAGGGATATGTTATATATGCTTCTAAACTGTTGTATCTGGGCACCTCTGCAAAGACAGTGATTATGTGTGAGTAAGGTGAAAGTGTTGAATGATGATGAAAGTATTTTGTTTTTGGGGATTTTCTTTCTTTTTGGGTCACTCTGCCTTGGTGGGAGACGGCCGACTTGTTTAAGAAAAAAAAAAAAGGGTTTCTTGCAGTTCTTAATGAACACGGAGTTCCAAGTCTGGGCCTGTGGTAGAGTACATGGGCATGTCATTTACTGCTTTTTCAAAGTCCTGTGGTATTAGGATTATATCAGAAATTCTTGAATTAACCAAATATTGACTCTCAGCCATAAAAAATTAATTTAGATTGTCAACCCTTGGTCTGATGAATGGCTCACTAATTGCTGAGTCATATTGAAATTTCAGTATCTCACTCATTTTGCTGTCATCTGTTTGTCTCATCCCATTTAATCAGGAACCCAATAATGAATGTGGTTTTTGTTCTAGATTTGGGGTAATAATTTTTGTTTTTTAACTTCATTAAGGCTTTCAGTTCCTCCTGTGCTTCCTGGTATGATTTCTTAAGCTTAAGTTCGATATTTTCTATTTCTTTGGCCAGTGCTTCCTGTATGTCAGATACACTGGCCCCTTTGAGCAGCTCTGTGATTCTTCGCTATTGCCTGTAGAGGGAGTCTCTCTATCTAGTTTATATCTTTTCTTGTTTCTTAGGGAAATTTACCTTGAGCATACCTCAAGTGCCATAAAATTAACTCTTTCTAGGGAAAGGCTCAGATCTGTGTTGCTTAGGACATCTCCCAGCTTGTTTCACCCAGGACATGGTTAATTTGCTCCTACTGTATGTTTCTGTTATTGAAGTTGAATTTGGTGAAGACATCCTCATAACTGATATTTTGCTGGTCATTATTACCAACAGATTACCAACAGACCCCTGGCATCTTCAAGCTGGCACTGGACAAGCACCTAAAGTCGGTTCCTGACCAGCCGGGCTGTGGCTCGTACGTTGGTTTGCGTGCAGCCAGCAGCAACAGCCTGGTTGATCAGGCTCTGATCCACCAGGAGGCCTGGTCACAGACCGGGCCGCGGGGGCGTTGACCCCCGGAACTCTCTCCAGGTAAACTCCAGTCGGCCGTCTCCCATCATACAGTGCTGATTTTGCTAGCCAGGAGCCCTGCGTAGTTGTATCTGTACGTACTTTGAGTGTGATCAGAGTGCACTGTGACTAATTTCCATTGGGGTCCTTCATTAACATCAACCTATCTTCTCAGGACAAATGATCTCAACAACTCCATTGTTGAGACCACCACTCATTGATTTTAAGACATTGCTGCCACCATCCTCCTTGCTGCAGCACTCAATTAAGTTTAATATCATTATTATGGAACAAATGGTTTTTAATACTTGACGTGCTGTTGGAGTGTGAGCAAAGTAACATTTATGAAGGGGTTCAGGGAAACCGGCAGGCGGACTTGAGTCCTGGAGATGGGAAGTACAGTGCCTGCACTCTGAAGGAGGGGTGTTAATGTTGCAGTTTAAAAACTGTAGTGTAAAGCACCCTTCTGGCAAGACAGTGATGGAGTGAATGATGGTGAAAGTTTTTCTTTTTTGGGCCACCCTGCCTTGGTGTGATAATAAAAATAAAAAAAAAATTATGGAACAAAGTAGAATGATTTGCAGAGCACATAAATCTGTAGGGAAAGGAAGGTAGGGTAGGGGTTGTCCTCAAAAAGGTTGGAGGGAGGGGGTTAAGGAGATTTTGTGTGCAAGGGGCTTGGACTTTCAGCAAGTGTGCGTGAGCATGTTAGATAGGAGTGAATGGAGACGAATGGTTTTTGTGACCTGACGAGCTGTTGGAGTGTGAGCAGGGTAATATTTTGTGAAGGGATTCAGGGAAACCGGTTAGCCGGACTCAAGTTCTGGAAATGAGAAGTACAATGCCTGCACCTTGAAAGGAGGGGTATGGGATATTGGCAGTTTGGAGGGGTATGTTATATATGCTTCTAAACTGTTGTATCTGAGCACCTCTGCAAAGACAGTGATTATGTATGAGTGATGGTGAAAGTGTTGAATGATGATGAAAGTATTTTCTTTCTTTTTGGGTCACCCTGCCTCGGTGGGAAACTGCTGACATGTTAAAAAAAAAAAAATGCACACCATACCCATCCTGCAGTTGGTAATCAAAGTTTTGATCACCAGTGGTTCACCAGGGGTTCACCAGTGGTTCAGCTACAGCATTTGAAGCCCATGCCTCACATCCAGATAATAGTGTTAGTACCATTATACTCTGGTACAATCCCCCTTTTTTTATTTTATCTCCATAAATAAACTTTTTTGTCCACAGATGCCTCAACACTCTACCTAGCCTTTACCCTCCATCTAGTCTATGGTTTGTCTAGTGTATCATAGACCCATCTGCTAACATGCCTACTCCCAGTTATCTAAATATATTCAAGTCTTCCTTACTCCCTTCCTCCAATTTAATATCCATTTTTTTGCCTAAACTTTTTGTTACTCTTATCACCTTGCCCTTTTCTATATTCATGGCTAATTTCTTTCTTTTACATACTCTCTCAAATTCTTTAACCAACTTTTGTAACTTCTCTTCAAAATATCCCAAAAGAACTGTCATCAGCTAGGAGCAACTATGACAACTACCACTCTGTATCAGTTATAATCTTTTAATCCCATACCAACACAAGGCTTTGCACTGGATATAAGATACTAGAAGGTAGGACAACATACAAATGAGTCACTCCATTCTAGGGCGAATGTCTATTGGAAAACACTTGGCGACAAATAGACTGACAAACCGGAAACCCATCACAACACTCTGATGACCTACAGTGACAAGAAAATCTGAAAATCACAAAATACCCACAATCTCTTTTACCAGTTCCATGCTGCCCACCTATTCTTATCTACAAAAAGGCCACTGAAATTGTTCCCAGAATTCAGAAATGAGCTAAACACCAGTTACCATATGAGCAGGAGATGCTGTTCTTCAACAATGCTGCCTGTGAAGTCCAAGTCATGATGTCATATATGGAACTTAACATCATACATACTTCAGAACTCCCAGCAGCTGGGTTAAGCCCTGGCATTTTCCTTTCCCTCAAGATGCTCCTCTCACAAACCTATTCTTAATCTGTGCCATCTTCGATGCTCAATCCAGCATCCTAGCATTCATTTCTTTTACAGCCCAATCTATAAATGTGTTAAGCCATGGTGATATCACATATCCTTATCTAAGGCCTACTCTTACTGGAACCTGTTGATATCTTTGAAAACATTTGGTGGTCAAGGATGAGGACAATTGTACTTCAGCAATTATTTAGATATTTTTTTTAGAGTGTGCCACTAAGTTACCAAATGACTGCAAAAGACTTAATACTACATTCTGAAATTAGGGAATAAAACAGTGTGACTCTTCGATTGTGTATTTAAGAAATCATAAAACCGGCTGTACTGATCTTGAATGAGCTAAGAGCAAAATCAACTCAATATAGATTACATTCCACTCTGCTTCACAAGACTGGATCAAGTTTCACATTCGAGTTCAGTACTGAACATACCTAGTATTTCATATACTAAGCATCTCATATACGTATGTATTCATCATCTCATGTATTTATGTAATCAGCATCTCTTGTATGTACCAATTTCTTACGTATGTAATCACAGAATACTTAAGTCTCGACACTTTTGCATTTCCAAACAAAGATATTAAATAAACATTTTCATTGAAGTATTTCATTCTATGTATAATATTTCACCTGCTTAAAAGTAGAACTGATCAATCAACAACCAATATGGCTCATAGTGTATCACATATAGTAAGTAAACCCATTTTTTTATAGCAGTATCTACATCTGCAGAAAACACAATACTTTATTTAAAAATATGTATTTTAAAATCTATAAATGACATAAAAATCTTGGCTTTGAAATTTCAACACAGAAGATCCAACTCATCTTATCTTCTTCGGTCCAAATATAAGGTCTGCATCAGGAGCACCCTTTGGATGCTGATATTTCGGTCGTCTATCACGGTTAAAATTCATGGTGGCTGGCCGCTGGGTCTGTAATCATTAGAGAATTTTTTTCTATACAGTATGATATGCAATATATGTAGTACAATACTAATGTTACCAAACAGGTAAGATATTTAATAGAAACAGGTGATTAATGAATAAAACTTTCAATAATGCAATGAAAACACATTTCCCACTAACTTCATTATTTATTATCATATGTGGTATAAAATGCAATGAACATTAATATACAGCATTGAAAAATACCAACCTTGAAAAAACATATTTAAGAAGAAGACTTCCATAAACATGTAAAAAAGTGATCCTTCTCTCAAGAGTGACTAATTCTTCCGAGTCTTTTATTTTCCTCTCCAACCATTCCCAGTTACATAACCACTCTCTGTTCCAAAACCTCACTCAGTTACGTAACTACTCTCAGTTATACAACCACTCAGCTCATTAGGTATTCCTGAAGGAGTACAGGCATTTTTTTTTTTTTTTTTTTCAACAAGTCGGCCGTCTCCCACCGAGGCAGGGTGACCCAAAAAAGAAAGAAAATCCCCAAAAAGAAAATACTTTCATCATCATTCAACACTTTCACCACACTCGCACATTATCACTGTTTTTGCAGAGGTGCTCAGAATACAACAGTCTAGAAGCATACACATATAAAGATACACAACATATCCCTCCAAACTGCCAATATCCCAAACCCCTCCTTTAAAGTGCAGGCATTGTACTTCCCATTTCCAGGACTCAAGTCCGACTATATGAAAATAACCGGTTTCCCTGAATCCCTTCACTAAATATTACCCTGCTCACACTCCAACAGATCGTCAGGTACCAAGTACCATTCGTCTCCATTCACTCCTATCTAACACGCTCACGCACGCTTGCTGGAAGTCCAAGGAGTACCGGCATACCTTGCTAATATGGCACTTCACTTTAGAGCACTTTGCTAAAATGAAGCTTTTCAATCATATTTGGCAGTGATGTGCACATCAGGTTAGCAATACAGTACTGTAGCATTTTATTTATTATTTTTACTTTCACATTTTTTTTTTAGGCCAAGTGCTATTGTACACTTAATAAATGACAGTGTAAACTTGTGAAAAAAAAAAAAGGGCTATGATTCACTTTACGGCAGTGATCTGTAACCTAACCCACTGTATTAGTGAGGTATGATGTATTTTTAAGTGGCAGACAATTATTATTCTTCCTTCATGGTTTTCATTTATAACTTGAGAATGTATCATCTGATCGGCTTAAAGGATGATATCCTTTTAGGTTTAGGCTGTGTTGGTGAAAATTTGCCAATTTACTAACTGGAGATTCTCGCTTTGGTCAGCTTCAAACTTTTAACAGTGGTGTCCTTTTCCCAAAAGGACGTTCAAAGAGACTTTGGGTTAATGTTAATTTTAATTTGCACTTTTACTAAACAAACTGCTATTTGTGCAATAAATGCTGCTTTTGCTTTATCTTACTTACATAAAGGTTTAGAATGATTTTGGGTTGTATAAGTGTCAATTTACCAATTTTAATAAAGAAACTGAGAAAACTAGGATACTGGTATTCATGCAATAATCTGTGAATGCCTCATACAATTGTCTTCCAGTCTTCAATGCTGATAACAAAAAAAAATGCATCTTCTGAGTGGCTTCGAATCTGAAGACCTAGTATGTTTTGGGATATTGGTCCCGGGGCGATAGTCAAAGATTTTAAAGACGGCATATCTTACTTAGTGGAAGGTTAAATTGGTTTTGACCTTCTTAAGTGCCAATTTGAAATCCTTATTTAAGAAATGAGGATATTGGTTTCCTTATCATAATTTGTGAATGCCTCTTCTAACTAACTGGCTTTAAATGTTTAATGCTAATAAAAAATTTGCACTTTGTACTACTGTACTTCTTTGGTGTGCACTGACACAGATGGAATACAACACATGAGCACATGTCTCACCCATGTGTTTCACAAGTACAGTATCAGTTTGTAAAGTTAATCACAACAAGGTAAACCTAGGAAGATTTCCTCAGATCCTTACCATGGCTACTTCTGATTTGCAGTCCTGTGTGATGCTCACTATACCACACAAGTAATAAACAGACTTGATAATAAAGGAAATCAGGAATTAAACCAAAGAGAATTAATGTTATTTAATAAATACACAAAGTAATAAAGAAAGTCAGGAATTAGATTTAAGAAATTTGTAGAACCTTGTTGTCTAACAAATACAGAAAGTTGTTCTGTGGATTACCTGTTGCATAATTTCTGCTGCCTCTTCCTCCTCTTGTCGTTCATTTATTTCCAGAGTCATACGCTTAACTTTTTCTTTCTCAGCTCTCTCCGCCTGCAAGAATAATACATAGTTAATATGTTCCCTCCAGTGCGACTTTCAAGTTTTTTTTTTTTTTTTTTTCAACAAGTCGGTCGTCTCCCACCGAGGCAGGGTGACCCAAAAAAGAAAGAAAATCCCCAAAAAGAAAATACTTTCATCATCATTCAACACTTTCACCACACTCACACATTATCACTGCTTTTGCAGAGGTGCTCAGAATACAACAGCTTAGAAGCATATACGTATAAAGATACACAACATATCCCTCCAAACTGCCAATATCCCAAACCCCTCCTTTAAAGTGCAGCATTGTACTTCCCATTTCCAGGACTCAAGTCCGACTATATGAAAATAACCGGTTTCCCTGAATCCCTTCACTAAATATTACCCTGCTCACACTCCAACAGATCGTCAGGTCCCAAGTATCATTCGTCTCCATTCACTCCTATCTAACACGCTCATGCACGCTTGCTGGAAGTCCAAGCCCCTCGCCCACAAAACCTCCTTTACCCCCTCTTTCCAACCCTTTCGAGGACGACCCCTACCCCTCTTTCCTTCCCCTATAGATTTATATGCTTTCCATGTCATTCTACTTTGATCCATTCTCTCTAAATGACCAAACCACCTCAACAACCCCTCTTCTGCCCTCTGACTAATGCTTTTATTAACTCCACACCTTCTCCTAATTTCCACACTCCGAATTTTCTGCATAATATTTACACCACACATTGCCCTTAGACGGACATCTCCACTGCCTCCAACCGTCTCCTCGCTGCTGCATTTACCACCCAAGCTTCACATCCATATAAGAGTGTTGGTACTACTATACTTTCATACATTCCCTTCTTTGCCTCCATAGATAACATTTTTTGACTCCACATATACCTCAATGCACCACTCACCTTTTTTCCCTCATCAATTCTATGATTAACCTCATCCTTCATAAATCCATCCGCCGACACTTCAACTCCCAAGTATCTGAAAACATTCACTTCTTCCATACTCCTCCTCCCCAATTTGATATCCAATTTTTCTTTATCTAAATCATTTGATACCCTCATCACCTTACTCTTTTCTATGTTCACTTTCAACTTTCTACTTTACACACATTCTCAAACTCATCCACTAACCTTTGCAATTTTTCTTTAGAATCTCCCATAAGCACAGTATCATCAGCAAAAAGTAACTGTGTCAATTCCCATTTTGAATTTGATTCCCCATAATTTAATCCCACCCCTCTCCTGAACACCCTAGCATTTACTTCTTTTACAACCCCATCTATAAATATATTAAACAACCATGGTGACATTACACATCCCTGTCTAAGACCTACTTTTACCGGGAAGTATTCTCCCTCTCTTCTACATACCCTAACCTGAGCCTCACTATCCTCATAAAAGCTCTTTACAGCATTTAGTAACTTACCACCTATTCCATATACTTGCAACATCTGCCACATTGCTCCCCTATCCACTCTATCATATGCCTTTTCTAAATCCATAAATGCAATAAAAACTTCCCTACCTTTATCTAAATACTGTTCACATATATGCTTCAATGTAAACACTTGATCTACACATCCCCTACCCACTCTGAAGCCTCCTTGCTCATCCGCAATTCTACATTCTGTCTTACCTCTAATTCTTTCAATTATAACCTACCGTATACTTTTCCTGGTATACTCAGTAAACTTATTCCTCTATAATTTTTACAATCTCTTTTGTCCCCTTTCCCTTTATATAAAGGGACTATTCATGCTCTCCGCCAATCCCTAGGTACCTTCCCCTCTTTCATACATTTATTAAACAAAAGTACCAACCACTCCAACACTATATCCCCCCCTGCTTTTAACATTTCTGTCATGATCCCATCAGTTCCAGCTGCTTTACCCCCTTTCATTCTACGTAATGCCTCACGTACCTCCACCACACATACATTCTGCTCTTCTTCACTCCTAAAAGTTGGTATACCTCCCTGGCCAGTGCATGAAATTACTGCCTCCCTTTCTTCCTCAACATTTAAAAGTTCCTCAAAATATTCTCGCCATCTACCTAATACCTCCCTCTCCCCATCTACTAACTCCCCTACTCTGTTTTTAACTGACAAATCCATACTTTCCCTAGGCTTTCTTAACTTGTTTAACTCACTCCAAAATTTTTTCTTATTTTCATTAAAATTTCTTGACAGTGCCTCTCCCATTCTTTCATCTGCTCTCCTTTTGCACTCTCTCACCACTCTCTTCACCTTTCTTTTACTCTCCATATACTCTGCTCTTCTATAACACTTCTGCTTTGTAAAAACCTCTCGTAAGCTACCTTTTTCTCTTTTATCACACCCTTTACTTCATCATTCCACCAATCACTCCTCTTTCCTCCTGCCCCCACCCTCCTATGACCACAAACTTCTGCCCACATTCTAATACTGCATTTTTAAAACTATTCCAACCCTCTTCAACCCCCCCACTACTCATCTTTGCACTAGCCCACCTTTCTGCCAATAGTCGCTTATATCTCGCCCGAACTTCCTCCTCCCTTAGTTTATACACTTTCACCTCCCTCTTACTTGTTGTTGCCACCTTCCTCTTTTCCCATCTACCTCTTACTCTAACTGTAGCTACAACTAAATAATGATCCGATATATCAGTTGCCCCTCTATAAACATGTACATCCTGGAGCCTACCCATCAACCTTTTATCCACCAATACATAATCTAACAAACTACTTTCATTACGTGCTACATCATACCTTGTATATTTATTTATCCTCTTTTTCATAAAATATGTATTACTTATTACCAAATTTCTTTCTACACATAGCTCAATTAAAGGCTCCCCATTTACATTTACCCCTGGCACCCCAAATTTACCTACTACTCCCTCCATAACATTTTTACCCACTTTAGCATTGAAATCCCCAACCACCATTACTCTCACACTTGATTCAAAACTCCCCACACATTCACTCAACATTTCCCAGAATCTCTCTCTCTCCTCTACACTTCTCTCTTCTCCAGGTGCATACACGCTTACTATAACCCACTTTTCACATCCAATCTTTATTTTACTCCACATAATCCTTGAATTTATACATTTGTAGTCCCTCTTTTCCTGCCATAGCTTATCCTTCAACATTATTGCTACTCCTTCTTTAGCTCTAACTCTATTTGAAACCCCTGACCTAATCCCATTTATTCCTCTCCATTGAAACTCTCCCACCCCCTTCAGCTTTGTTTCACTTAAAGCCAGGACATCCAGTTTCTTCTCATTCATAACATCCACAATCATCTCTTTCTTATCATCTGCACAACATCCACGCACATTCAGACATAATCTAATCTTGTCTATATATAAGAGCTGTGAAAGACACATAGTAACTTGAGTATAAATTCTGTACTCAAGTATATACAATAAGGATTACTTATTACTGTATATGATAAAGGTCTCACAACTAAACATCACCAAGACTTATGTTATTTACCTCTTCACGTGTCCGGAGCTTGGTGACCAGTTCGGAATCAACTGGCATTTCCACACTGTTATATTGCTGCTTGTTGCCAGAACGTGTCATCAAAAGAAAGTTCACAACAGGTTTATTCTCTTCCTCTGTTCCCTCACACAGAAGTTGATCTGATCAATGAATCATCAAGCATTTGAGACACTAGCATATACAGCAACACTACACAGCTACAAGGACATCATGTTCCAAACAATACACAATACAGGTTTGTATTGTTCTTAAAATTTCCATTCACATCTACAGCTGTAATGTCTAACAGTACTGAAAAGAGTGGACTGGTTGTAGAAGATTTATCAAGAGGCCTAAGTTGACTGGTACTGTGGCAGATGATTAAATAAAGAGTGATTATGCCTTTTCATAAAAGTAAAGACTTGTGAGCTTATAATACTACAGGTATTTTCCTCAGGGCTCAAAAATGGCCTTTTTTAATTAACACATTGGCTGTTTCCTACCAAGGCAAGGTGACCTAAAGAATAAAAACTTTCATCAATCACTCTATCATTGTCTTGCCAGAGGAGTGCCAATACTACAGTTCAAAAACTGCAACGTATCTTCACCCCTCCTACAGAGCACAGACACTGTACTTCTCAGCTCCAGGACTCAAGTCTGGCTAACTGGTTTCCCTGAATTCCTTCATAGGTGTTACTTTGCTCACACTACAACAGCATGTCAAGTCATAAAAACCACCGGGTCACCATCTGGAGAAGACCCGGGCCGGAAGTACTGGCGAATCAACAAGAAGAAGAAGTCATAAAAACTTGAGGAAATTTTCACCATGTATAGTTTAATTAAGTCATTTTGTGCCCCTTAAATATTGTACCAGCGATATGTGACTGACTAAAGAGGAAATAAGAAAAATAAGGCTGAGAGTACTATAATGAGAGTGGTTATTGCAATGAAATTCTCTGGAAAGGAAGAACAAGGAAAGGATGCAAATAATAGCTCAAAGAAAGTGACTATTTCAGCATTTATATAGGTGTGTGAAATGCATTTAGGGGTATGAATATGAAAAATTTACTTAATGCAGAGAAAAGAGTAAAGTACTTTTACACTTAGTCTATGAAATATCTGATATACTTTTGTGATTGTTTTGATAGTGAATAGTAGTGTTAGTTTTCTATGGTGTTACACAGTGTAGAGGGTAGTATGAACAGCTGAGCATCACTCTGACACTTTTTAACCCTCTTTTTAACTATAAGTTCCATTCTTACTGGCAGGCTCCTCTCAGCCCATGAAAGTGGGAGCCAAGAGTAGAGATGATGATTTGAAAGGGGTCACAGTAAAGAATAAAAAGTCACAATATCATTTTTGGAACAGTGCACAGATAACCTGCACTTAGGAGACAAACTTAAGAAGAAATTTCTGACTCAGATCATTAACAAGTCACAGTGAAGCTTAAAAGGAAGAAGCAAGAATGTATGGTGAGGGGGTGGGGGAGTGGTAGAACAAGAGGGGTGGGTGGTGCAGTAGCAGTTACTGTAGTTGTTGATATTGCTGTCATCAATGTCACTGTCATTGTTGATGCTGGCATCAGTGGTAGAAGGTAGTAATAGTACAGTGAAACCTCAAAAATCGAACTGCTCCCAACTCAACCAATTATGTAAGTGTATTTTTTTAAGTGCATTTATAAGTGCATTTTTGAGGGTCTGAAATGAACTAATCTAATTTACATTATTCCTGATAGGAATAAATTCGTTCGGTAGCGGCACTCGGACAGCCTTCTGGACTGAAGAAAGTTCAATATTTGAGGTTCCACTGTACTTGAAAAATAATGGCAGTGTAGTATTAGTGAAGAAAAAAAGCAGTAGTAATATGGTAATAGTAGAGATAAACCATAAGAAAAAGAGAATAGAGGAGCACTGAAGAGAGCTACTGGCCTACAGGTGCAGAACAAAAGCCCCCCTAGGACAGAACTCACCTACGCAGAAGACAGGAAAGGCAATAAAAATATAGGAAAGGTGAAGAGATAAGGAGAGGAGACAGAGGTCAAGTCAAGACACCAGTGTTCTGAGGTTTAGAGCATTTGACAACATAGTGAGAAAGGAGAGCATCTACAGAGACAAAGCCAGAACAAAAGATTCATATTAGGAATGTTATGTACAAGGGATGCTTCAACAAGACAGCATCTGTGAAGGCTAGAATAAGGATTGGCAGTTATGGCAGAGGACCAGCTAATAGGATGACTGTGATCTCTAACATAACAGAAAAGAGCATTGTTAGTGTCGACAAGGCTAAAACTTCTTTTGTGCTCTTTAAGTCTGTCAGAAAGAGAGTAGACAGTTTCTTCAAAATACAGTGGACCCCCGGTTAATGATATTTTTTCACTCCAGAAGTATGTTCAGGTGCCAGTACTGATCGAATTTGTTCCCATAAGAAATATTGTGAGGTAGATTAGTCCATTTCAGACCCCCAAACATACACATACAAACGCACTTACATAAATACACTTACATAATTGGTCGCATTCGGAGGTAATCATTATGCGGGGGTCCACTGTACTGGAAAAGACAAAAGGAGCAGGAAATGGAGTAGACACCAAAAGCATCAGTGGCAGGAGGGAAGGCATGAGCTAAATTACTACAAAGGGTATTAGTTTGGCAAAAAAGTAAGTTTAATATCTAAAAGACAGATGGTGTTAATATTTAGGAGACTGGAAATTTATGGAAAGCAAAAAAACAGAAAATTTCACAGAAGAGAATCTGGGAGAAAAGAAAGTGAGAAAACTAAATAGAATGGAAACTGTAATAGGATAAAATGTTGTGCTAGTAATAATGGTCCCTGAACTTCAAAACATGTTGAGAAACTTTGCAGTCTATTTCTAATATCAGCTAGTAAGGTTTACTATACAGTGGACCCCCAGTTAACGATATTTTTTCAATCCAGAAGTATGTTCAGGTGCCAGTACTGACCGAATTTGTTCCCATAAGGAATATTGTGAAGTAGATTAGTCCATTTCAGACCCCCAAACATACACGTACAAACACGCTTACATAAATACACTTACATAATTGGTCGCATTCGGAGGTGATCGTTATGCGGGGGTCCACTGTACTAGAATCATTATAAAAAGAAGTAGGTAATGTCTGTACACTGAATTTTCTACTATATTATGTGAAACAAAAATTCTCACCATAAGTCTTCTTAGCAGTGGATTTGACATGCACAGGCACAGATATATCCAGCTGGCCAGGGCGAGGTACAGTGCTGGCACGCTCCATGAGGCTGTCCGCCATCATGCGGTCAAAGGCTGACATGAAATCAGTGTCCTCTTCACAGTCAACATGTTTAACATTAACCTTCATATCTCCTTCTAGTATTTCATCGCCAAGCATTTCTCCATCGTCATCTCCTATGTCATCCTCTGCATCACCGGTCAACACACCTTCTCCTTCCTTCAAAATTAAATCATAACATACATGTACAAATTAAATTACCTACCTACTAGTAATTAATTTCTGCATAAAGCACCAGGAGCCCACTTAGAATATGTCATAGTTACACCAGATACTCATCACCCTTGACTGCAATATGTTCAAAGGCACATTAATGAGTTCAGTGTAGCTATCACTTGCCCACTGATATATATCTGTTGTAGTATGTTCGATCTACATATTGCAACAATGCTTAAGACTGCAGTTTACAATCCTCTACTCCAGAATAAACACACACACATACACAGCAGAGGCAGGGCCAGAAGCTGCAAATCAACCCCTGCAACCACAAATAGGTGAGTAAGTGCGTGCACACACATGCACATACACACACACCAATGTCCAGCAACCACCACCACACTGCATCTGGGATTGGCAGAATGATGCACATTCTATGCTGTATCTCCATCAATCTGATGACAAACAGTGGAATTTAGCCCAAATGTACCCTGGAAAATGACACTGCTGAACTTGGATTCTTTGAAATTTATTTTGATGAACCCCACATTCAAATGATATTGAGGTACCTTGCCAAAAGATACTTCAAATATACAATGATAAACATGTTGGTTTCACCATGATCATTTCTGCGCCATCAGAAAAGATCCCATAGCTCGGTTGGAAGAGTAAAAACTAATTAGTCATAATGAAGCATTTGGGTGTAGCCGATGTTGCTGTCAGCAGGTCAATGACCTTCAACCTCATGCCTCTGTATCTTGGTAAGAACTGAGGGGAATTTTTTTTTTATCTTATTACAACCACAAAATGTGTTTTTTTTTTTAATTGGAGGAGGGGGGTCGTAACAGTGAAAGGGTTAAGGGAAGCAGTGGAGGGACAGGGGTTGCTGAAGTGTGAGTACGTACTGGTCAGACAGTCACAATAACAACCAACAAAACAATAAAATTTAATACACAGTTCTTAACCAATGTCTAGTAAAAAAACAATAATCTTATTTGGTGCAAATTTATTTTATATCTAATAAGAGATCATAATAGTTTACAAATCAGATGCATCTCATTACATACAGGAAGGAGATAACAGACAATACATTGTAAATGAATTCAAAATAAATAATGCTAACAAGTTTTAAGAGGAAAGGCACATGGACAGAGCTCTCACCTCCTCCATAGTGTTGCGTCCTGGCTGACTGTGTTGTGAAGGGGTGAGAGAATCTCCGTGGGATTCACTCCAATCCAACTCACCTTCCACCTCTTCAAAGTCTTCTTCATCTTCCATATCTTCAAGTATGTCTCCCTCCAACTCCACAACTTGGCTGTTGTCACCTGGATTACACATCAATTTTACATTTTCAAAGATAATGAAGTTTTTTTTTTAACACGTCAGCAGCTTCCCCCCGAGGCAGGGTGACCCAAAAAGAAAGAAAAACCCAAAAGGAAAGAAAAAACTTTCATCATCATTCAACACTTTTACCATCACTCATACATAATCACTGTCTTTGCAGAAACACTGATACAACAGTTTAGTTGTCCCTCCAAACTGCCAATATCCTGAATCCCTCTTTTAAAGTGCAGGCATTGTACTTCCCATTTCCAGGACTCAAGTCTGGCTAACTGGTTTCCCTGAATCCCTTCACAAAATATTACCCTGCTCACACTTCAACAATGATAATGAAGTTGTGTAAAATAAAAACAGTGTGTATACATAGATGAATACATATATTTTTTAAACACACCAGCCATTCTCCCACAAAAGTAGAGCGATTTGAAAAAGAAGGAAAAACTTTCACTGCCATTTATTCAATTACTGTCTTCCCAGAAGTGTGCTTACACCACATATCAGATAATCTCCTAAACTGCAATATCCCTCACCCTTCCTTCAGGGTGCTGGCATTGTACTTCATATCTCCAGGACTCAAGTTCAGTTAACCAATTCCCTAAATCCCTTCATAAATGTTACCTTTCTCACACTTCAACTATACATCAAGTCATAAAACCATTTGCCTCCACTCATGCCTATCTAACATGCTTGTACATGCCTGCTGGATGTTGGCGAATAAGATGTAGGTATGTGCCAGGAATTTGAAGTGTAGCTTTAATGGGCCAATGTGCAGTCAGTATTATTTAACCAAAACAAACTTAAGTATAATGTGTTCATTTGAAATAAGGATTAATAAATTGGCAATATGAATGACAGATCTCTCAATACACACAGACAAAAACTTACCTTCTTCTATGATTGTATGAAGGGCTTCGCTCTCCTCTTCTGGCTGAAGATACTGCCGTAAACTTGGTACTTGCTGTCACAAAAAATTATTTGATGAAACACATTTTAAAGGCATAACACAAACACAAACATACCCTCAGGGGCCAGGAACTGTGACCCATCCCTAGAAACCACATGTAGATGAGTATGTACGTATGTGTGCGTGCATGCACATGTGCGCACACCACCACACACACACACACACACACACACACACACACCACACACACACACACACACACACACACACACACACACACACACACACCACAACACACACCCCACACACACACCACACAACCACCACACACACACCACACATACACACACACACACACCACACCACACACCACACACACACACCACACACACACACACACACACACCACACCACACACACCCCACACACACACACCACACACACCACACACCCACACCAACACACACCCCACCACACACACACACCACACACACACACCACACACACCCACACACACACCACACACCCCACACACACAACAACCACACAGCACCACACAACACCACACACCACACCACCCCATGCACCACACACACACCCCACAACACACCACACACACACACACCACAACCCACACACACACACACACACACCACACATACAAACACACACACGCACATACAAACACAAACACACATACACGCATGCATGCATATACAACAGGCCTAGTGTCTAATCGACATGTGCCTAAGACAAAATGGTAACTAACACACACACACACGCGCGCGCGTGCACACGCACACACGCGCACGCACGTCAAGAAATTAGAGAAAGTGCAAAGGTTTGCAACAAGACTAGTCCTAGAGCTAAGGGGATTGTCCTACAAAGAAAGGTTGAGGGAAATCGGCCTGACAACACTGGAGGACAGGAGGGTCAGGGGAGACATGATAACGACATATAAAATACTGTGCGGAATAGACAAGGTGAACAAAGACGGGATGTTCCAGAGATGGGACACAGAAACAAGAGGTCACAATTGGAAGTTGAAGACTTGGATGAATCAAAGGGATGTTAGGAAGTATTTCTTCAGTCATAGAGTAGTCAGGCCGTGGAATAGCCTAGAAAGTGACGTAGTGGAGGCGGGAACCATACATAGTTTTAAGGCGAGGTTTGATAAAGCTCATGGAGCAGGGAGAGAGAGGACCTAGTAGCAATCAGTGAAGAGGTGGGGCCAGGAGCTATGACTCGACCCCTGCAACCACAAATAGGTGAGTACACACACACACACACACACACACACACACACACACACACACACACACACACACACACACACACACACACACACACACACACACACACATACACACACACACACACACACACACACACACACACACACACACACACACACACACACACACACACACACACACACACACACACACACACTGAGACATCTGAAACAGCACAGAGACAAAGATATTACAGAAGTAGCATTGGCAATGGCTACATCAAACAGACAACAGGTCTGAAGGAAGCATGGAAACTAAACTGTATGCAGAGGTCCTGTCAAACCCACATGGGGCCAAAACAAAGACAGGGAGCACACTAGGACAGAATGAGAGGTTGGAAGACATTGAAGGAACTAGGACATGTGCAAGGACCTTACCAGATACCTGTGGGGGCCAGGAGCAGGTGAGCAGGAAGGATAAACCAAGAAGCATAGGGGCCATAACTAGGGAAGGGACTGAAGGAACACTCCATGGGAAGGAACTAAAACACATCAGAGGATGCAATGGGAGTCACAGTGGGAGGTGGAAAGGGAAAGATCCGTGTTTGTCTATGGGCTAGACGAAGCTAAAGGGAAAACTTATGATGAAAGAAAGCAGGAGGAGAAAAAAGCGATTGAAGATATCATGAAGGTGATAGGCGAGGGGGACATGACCCAGGTGGCAAATTTTCGGAGAATTGGGTGGTTCACAAAGAAAAGCAATCGGCCTCTCAAAGTAATTTTCAAGGCAGAATCAACCCGAACCATGATCCTGCAGGAGAAAGCACGGCTGAGAGGCAAGCAGGAGTTCCGGGGTGGGGTACCTCGATCGAGACAGAACACAGGACGAAAGGAAGACAATGAAAAGAGAGAGTTCAAAAACGAAAGGAGAAATGGGAGGAAATGAAAAAGGAGAGCAGAATAACCCAGGATCAAATGGAAGGACAAGCGCACCCCCCAGAAAACACCTGCAAAAAGGACTCCACCCAAACGACACCCCCAAGGCAACTGAACAATCCAAACCAACCATCACACACTGATCCCTCGTTTCCACCCCCCGCACCACAGTTACAGTATTAAAAACAGAAGTTGAAGGTTTGGTACACAAATGCAGATGGATTAACGAATAAACATGAGGAATGGCAAGAAAGAATCAATGAGAAGTCCCCAGACATCATAGCAGTTACAGAAACAAAACTCATGGAGACAATAACAGATGCAATCTTCCCACCAGGATACCAGATCATGAGGAAAGATAGAAGGGCAGGGGGTAAGTGGGGTTGCTCTGCTCGTAAAAAAACAGAATGGAAATTCGAGAAAATGGAAGGAATAGATGAGACGGGAGAAAGAGACTACATAGCAGGTACACTTCAGTCTGGGGAACACAAAGTGGTCATTGCAGTGATGTATAATCCACCACAGAACTGCAGGAGGCCAAGAGAGGAATATGAAGAGAGCAACAGAGCAATGGTGGACACACTTGCTGAAGGGGGCAAGAAGAGCTCACTCCAGCAGAGCAAAGTTGCTGGTTATGGGGGATTTCAACCACAGGGAGATTGACTGGGAAAACCTGGAGCCACATGGGGGTCCCGAAACATGGAGAGCCAGGATGTTGGACGTGGTGCTGGAAAACCTCATGCACCAACAGTTAAGGACACTACAGAGTGAGGGGGAGGTGAACCAGGCAAGATTGGTGTGATTTCACCCTGGGCAGCTGATTCGAAACATGGAGAGCCAGGATGTTAGGACTGGTCTTGGAACTCATGACAACATAGTAAGACCAAGCAGAGAGAAAAGGGAGAATGAAACAGCCAACATTGGAAACGTGGGTGTACCCTAGGGTGAAGATTCCTGCAGATATGGGACACAATATGAGAGTACCCTAATGAACTAGGAATAGTTGATTTGTGTTTTTGTATAATAGTACAGCTGCCGGGGGGGACACCAGGAGTGGAGATCGGAAAACCGACTAAAAAGAGCATACATAGGGTTCAGACACTTCCTGCAGTGTCCAGTGGGACACAACAGTTTTAAACCTGAAAGAATACGCATTTAACAACAAATGCAAGGAGGCATGGAAAGGTTCTCATCCAAGGCAACAGTAACAACGAAACCATAACGAGCCCCTGGTTTACCCACGGTGTAAGGAGGCAAATAAAATGCAATAGCAATGCAAAAATACAGAAGCAGCAGAACACACGAAAGGGAGACCCAGTCGCAGAAGCCGCAATTGAGCTACGCACTAGTAAGGAGGGAGGTCCCAGCGACCAGTATCAAACTTGCATCCACGAGATCAAACTACCCTTAAACTGTTTTGTATACGCCACTCTAGGAAGCAACACCTCAACAACCATTGATCAGATTAAGGACAGAAGTGGTAGAACTCCAGAAATGTCAGCAGGATGAGGAGCTCAACGGAATTTAAGGAAGCACATTTACACGTAGAGACAGGAGCGGCTGTGGGCAAGACAGCACAGACTGGGAACATCAAGAGAATACCACACAGTGTTGGATGACATACGACAACTGAGGGGAGGTAAGAACTCCTTAAGTGACCTTGACAACCTCAAAGTCGATTGGACACAGTCAACATCTCCCTGGGTCCATAGAGAAGCGAGCAGAGATGCTGTGCGTGCCTCTAACCAATCTTTCAACCCATCCCTTGAAACTGGGCAACTACCTGAGAAATGGAAGACACTAATGTAGTCCCCATATTTACACAAAGGTAAACATAAACAGGCACTAAACTACAGACCTTGTCTCGACATGTATTGCTGTCAAAGTCATTGAAAGATCTTCACAGGACGAAATGGTCACAATCGAACTCCTATCCAGAGAAATGAACAAAGAATAACTGAAAACCCAGCATGGGTTCACTGGAACTTAATCCAGCTTTCAAACCCTGATTTTTTATGACAACGCACAGAAATAAGAACACAGAGAGAGGGGTGGTAGACATTGCGCTTTTCCTAAGCTCTTAGGAAGGACTTTGACACAGTTTCCCCACAAGAGATTAGTCGCAGTAACCTCTGAAGGATTCATGCGTCAATAAAAGGGAGGGCACTCTGCCAATGATAAGGGAATACCTGACAGGGATGGCGCCACACCCTCGATACATGTTCCGAAGAGGTATACACAGTGGAGCGCCTGTTTACTACAAAGCGGGTTCCACAGGGGTCAGTTTCTAGACCATGCTAGTCATTGCATACTCCTGACGACTTCTGAAAGGCAATAGTCATCTGCAAGTGTTCCCGTTTCGCAATGACATGAAGTTGAAGAGAAAATTAAATCAACAGGATGAGGCAGACTGCAACAGAGACCTGACAGCCTAGACATGTGGTCCAGCAACTGGCTCTGATTATCCACAAATGCAGTTTGAAATTGGAGGCAAAGAAACCGCAGACAGAGATGCTAGGTGGACAAAGACACAGACCTCACTCAGGGAGAAAACCTTGGTACCATAACTCGAGCCATCACCGAGGCACCATCACCAAATAACCGCTACCAACGGGCACCTGGCAAACTGAAATAGCGTTCCCGATACCTTATTAAAAATGTTCAAGACACTGTACACTGTGTATGTAGGGCCATACTGGAATCCAGGCACCTCTGGAGCCCACACCTGGTCATACCACGTCAAGAATTTCAGCAAGTACAAAGGTTTGCCAACAAGCATCCATATCAAGGAATGTCTACGAGGAAAGTTAAGGAAATCGGACTTAGACACTGAGGACAGAAGCGGGGAAATGATAACGACATACAAATACTGCAGGGAATAGCA